GATCTAATGGCCATCATCCCCCGCACTTGGGTGGCATCTACCTTCTCCCATGAAGGCTATGCAGATGAAAAAGAACCGACCTCCATCACCTCTACCAGTCTCAAGAAAAGTATCGACACAGACTCCTATGTCATATAAAATAACACCCATTCAAAGTATCCTATATGTGCCAAATTCATTAGGTGTTAACAAAATGAGTGAGACTGTATGCCAAAAGTATATCACCAATCCAGGTAAATTTTTTTTCACTAAGAAGTTTATTTTAGCTACACAGAAAATCTTAAAGCATTTTGGGACTTAGTAAATTGAGAGGACCTTAGAGAGTGGTCTTTCCTCTTCTTGCTTGTCCTTGATAAAAGTTCTTACTCACACACCTCTATTTGGATATTTCATTTCTAGAACCATTGTTAAAAGCACAAGTTGGATGAGAGAAGTGGTCTAGGTGATCCCTGCTCTTCCAGCTTTGATACTTGTTTGTTTTTAGAGGGAGCGCATCCAGCCATTTGTGAATGAATAGGTTTCATCAGATGTAGGTCACATTCCATATATGTACCATAAATTGTGTTATGTCTTGCTCTGTGCTATATACAAGTTCCTAAAAGTGCTACATTATTATTTTCCTGGCACGGGTAGTCTTATACATGTTGATGCTACTTCATTTCAAACATACCTGGGAATTTTGTTTTTATAAGGACTTCAAATTGCCTTTTTCATATTTTAATTTTATGTGTTTGAGTGTTTTTCCTTCATTGCATGCAAATGAACCCATGTTGTGCAATGCCCACAGAGGACAGAAGAGGGCATCAGACACTCTGGAAAAGGAGTTATGGACATTTGTTAGCCATCACGTGGGTGCTGGGAACCAAACCCCAGGTGCTCTGCAGGACAGTCAGTGTTCTTAACCACTGGGCCCCCAAATCTTTCCAGCCCCCAATTAGTAATTTTCATTTTCATGAGTAGTTTATTTAAAATAATGAAATTAGGGACTGAAGAGATGGCTTAGCAATCAAGAGCACTGGCTGTTCTTACAAAGGACCTGGGTTCAGATCCCAGCACCCACATGGTGGCCAACAACTGTCAGTAACTCCAGTTCTAGGGGATCTGACACCCTATTCTGATGTCCGTGGACATGGAATGACACAGTGCACTTATATACATGCAGGCAAGACATATTTTTATTTTATGTGTATGTGTGTCTTGCCTGTGTGTAGGTAAGTGCACCCGTGTCATGCAATGCCTGCGGAGGACAGAAGAGGCTGTTGCATCCCCTAGGATTGCACTTACTGAAAGTTGTTAGCTGCCATGTGGGTGCTGGGATTCGAACCCGGGTCTTCCGGAAGAAGAACCAGTGTTCTTAACCACTGAGCCATCTCTCCAGCCCCTAAATAAAATATTTTAAAATAATGAAATTAGTTATATAGACTCAATATTATATGCATCCATGTATTTACCTTATTTTACTAATAGTCCTGGTTTCTTTTGTTCCCTGTAGCTAGCCACTTTATAACTATACACATACAGAGTTGTCAAAGTTTAAACAGCAATAAAAATGACACACAAATCTCTACATGTACATCAGATGTGTTTTGATTAGTTGAGTACATAAGATTTTTACTTGTCATTTGGACCAGGCATAAACTTGGCTTTAGCATATTTTTAATCTTTCCCAGTAGAGTCTTTGATTTACCTGTCTCTAAACAGTTAAAACCAAAGTAGAAGCAAATTGTTGCATTTTTGAATATGTACTTGTTTCAAATCTATAACATTAGGAAGAAGTTGGGGTTTTGAACAAATCACCTAATCATCATGTGATGATCTGTGCTCATTTTTTTTAATGTTTGACATCTCATTTACATCTTTGTTGGAGTGAGAGGTAATAATAGGTTCCATAATCACACATTCCACCTGTTTATTTAAACTAGAGTTGAGTAATAGAAGCATGCCACACAGTGACGCAGCCTTGAAAATTCCAGCAGAGATACACCAACCTGCTTATGAACAAAACAACCAAATGGAAAAAGACAGATGCACCAAAGAAAAGGAACAAAGGTTAGCAAAGAATAATCCTTCCTCATCATCACTAACCCTTGGTGGGAACCCAAACTTTGAAAATTTCCCCTCAACTTCTATGTTCTAAAAGAGCAAATTAACTTTTTCTTCAGTGAGAAGTCTGTAATTGCCTTCTAAACAAGTTAAGAACATATATATACCTTTAAAAAACTAGAGTGTAGGAAACATTTAAAGACTTTGTAACTGGCCAAGCAGAGAGAACTCTGCCTCTAGACATACATCTATTTTAGTCTCCATACATCCTCCACCATTATGGTATGCTAGGACAATGTAAAAAAGAGACCAATGTACTGTCCAGGACTCCATTTTAGCAGTAGCACCTGGGTGACCACATGGCATTTGCTAGTGTCAGCCCCTTTATTTATTCTTGTGAAGAACAAAACCTTATAACTTTAGGATTTGTAAATCTGGCAGTTATGCTTACTCCTGTTTTAATTTCGGTTCACTGTATTGACCTCTGTGACACCCATGTCTCATATGACCAATGAGTCACTCCTGGAAGGTTGTCCCGTGGACAACAAATCTCACATACAGCAATGTTCATTTAAACTTGAAATGTTCATGCTTTTCCATCTTGTGACCCATTTTGTGTTGTGCCTTATAATATAATCCTCTGACCAATGCATGCAAGGAATGCCTATAGTTCAGACTTTATTTTCAAGTATCAACTGTCCTTTAAAATATGATCACATACTTTCCATATACTGTATATGTGCCTGGACAAAAAATGAAGACAGGAACACTTTGAATAGCAAGAAATTATAACTCAAGAATGTTATTCTTTGGCTTATGTAAACAGGTAATTTAGACCCTCCTCTAAATTATCTCTGTCGTCCCCAGAAGATTGGGTATAAGAACATCTAAATAAAGCCTTAGGGGTTTATTTATAACAATTAAGGACTGGTTATTTCTGTCTTGGATATGTGCACATATGGGCTTTTAAGGTCTAGTACTTGTTAGAAATCCTTTTGTACTCCCAAGGGCTAGCTTCCCTCATTTCAAAAGGGTGAAATTTTATAACTCCTGAATAGTAAGACACCAGGAAATTCAGTAAATCTGAAATAGATATAAACTGTGTTACTATATTAGCAATTTCACTATGAATGCTTACATACTACTGCAAGCTGTATATGCCTGCAGCTAAGGAAAATACTAAGAATTGTTTAAATACTCTCAGTGTTACTGAGCAAGTGGATGCTATGGCAGATAAAACGGGTGAAGTCCCTGCTGAAGAACTGTCACCATACAAAGATGAGCTGCAAGAAAAAGATCTGACAAAGAAAACCGGTTGTGAACAGTCAGAAGACCTGAAAGACCAGTTACAGGTTTGTGGTCTTGATACTCCAGCTGCAGATGACAACCAACTAAGACAGTTCAATTGAAACATAAAGCAACAATCCGTGTCAGTAAGCAGACACAACATTCTCTGGCCGCACTTTGACATTACACTTGCACTGTTACCCAATATCACTGCAAGTCATCCTCAGCTACCCTTGACAAATTTCTAGACTGTTTTCCAAGGGCACCGAACGAAAGCAGAAAGAAGCAGATTATAGACTAGAAGTTCTTTAGTTTGAAATTGCAACAAAATGTCATGCCAGTTGTATGATCTTGTATACAGTGGTGCTACACATGGCCTCCAAAACTGCACACTCCCAAGGTGTAAGAAAGTGAGCTGTTAGGAATGCCTGTGAATATTTAACATGCTCAAATTGACCAATAGGGATGTCTTAACCGTCTACATTAAAGTCTCTGAGTGAACAAATCCCCAAACTGTTTTCAGACTATATTCAGTTAGAATTATTACCATAGCCCATTTTATATTCCCAATTTTAGTGTGTCATTCGTCAGAATTGCTTACATGTAAGTTCCTTAAACATTTGTGTATACTTGTATTCCTTGGAAGGAAGCCTTTAAGTGCTTTTAAGAAAGGTAAAAATATTGGCTCTTCTTGCTATGTTAATGAATTACTCTGAAATCATTTGCATGCTTTTAAATTAAGGTGGTGTGGTGTGTTCATAATGATAACCTTGACATCTGGAATAGTTCGGATAATGTTAACCTCATTCTATGCTTTTTAATAAGGCTTTGAAAACTGATAATAGATGAATCTCACATATATAAGAATGTTTAATCAAAAGGTTATAACCTTTAAACTAAAATTTTCTGATGTATTCAGGTACACTGCAATTAAATGATATTTTTGCACAAATTTCCTAGAAAGGAGACGCCACATCAAAGTGTCAGGGCAATGCTGAAATGCGCAAGAAGGAACATGAGAGAATTATGTTACGAAATTTGCAAGAAAGATTAGAACGTAGAAAGGTAATTCTGTTTCTGATGATTTGTGTTAATCAGTGTTGGGTATAAACTATTAGAACATGTTTTTGAAAATCCCAAATCATGGGGCTGAAGGGATTGCTCAGTGGTTAAGAACACTGGCTGCTCTTGCAGAGGACCTGGGTTCAGTTCTCAGCACCCACATGGCAGTTATCAATTGTCTGTTAACTCCAGTTCCAGGGGATCTGATACCCTCTTCTGGCCTCCATAGGCATTGCATGGCACAGGTATACTTACATACATGCAGTCAAAACACTTATACACATAATAAAGTGAATCAAAATGTTTAAAAAGAAAGAAAATCCCAAATCAAGTGGGTTTTAGCTCCTAGCTGTTTGCCTATGCTTTCTTATCCAAAGATCTGACTTCTACACATAAAGTTCTCCTCTGATTGACCATACTTTTACCTCATGAATCCTTGGTGGCCATTACATCAATGTGCCAATATATCAAACCTGTAGAATCAACGCTCCTTTCAGCAGAACGACTCCTGGCTGACAGAGGTTGGTGGAGATTAGAGTTTCTTCTAAATTGGGCTGGAACTTGCAGCAAATCTGGTAGGAAGTTGAGACCTCTTTATAAAGGCCAAAGTACAGACTGTTACTTTTTGTACAACTCACATGGTTCATCTGGGACTTCCTGCCAAGGCCGAGGTGCCATGAGGCCTTCCTGTCACTCCTAGGTGGCCAGCAAGCATAATTCTTCTCACCTTATGCAGTGGGGAGAACTCTAATGTCTCCCTAGAGTACATGAGTACATCCTTCCTCTGCCTTGTGTTGTTTTGCTAACAAGATCTCTTAGCACTGTGGTGTCACTGCAGTGCATTATTTTCATTAATGTCAGCTATAAGCATGGTCTAAGTCTAAAGTCCTTTTGAGAATTCTAATTGATTTGCAATAATAGGTGCCTAGACTAAGAGATGAGTTTCCATGTGTGAAAATAGGAACAGGAAGTTATCATTCGAGTGTTGGTGTTACAATAGGAAGGACAGCTGTTGGGGTTCAGAGCATTTTATAGCTGAAACTAGGCTCACGAGAAGGAAACCAGCTGCTGCCCCAAATCTTTTGTTAAATTTGTCCTTTGACAATGACACAGGCGTTGCCTGCTTCTATAAAATGGAGGTGATCGACTGCTTCCTCAGAGCCACTGGTTTGTAATTTCTTTCGTGTTGAAATTTTTATTTCCCTCTGAATAGAGAGTTGAGGAAATAATGAAGCGGACAAGAAAGACAGATGCGAATGCCTCAAAGGTAGTCTCTCCTCCCGCAGAGCGGGTACGAATTGCTCTTCACGTGCTTGCCAGCTCTTCATTTTTGCCATTCTGGCAGCAATGAAAATGAAGTTAACACAGTTAGTTGGCTTTGCCTGGCCATTAAAAATCTTGAGCTTGTTTTCCTATCGCTACTTGGTTTTCATGTTTTCTTGTGTGAAATGCTTGTTTAGGTCTTTTTGCCTAAAACTTTGGGGTTGGTTTGTCTTTTTCTTATTTTGTTACAGTCCCTTGAATGCTCTAGATGCTGCTTCTTTTGTCTATTTTTCACTTGCCTTTTTCTTACTGAAAAAGTAGGAGTTTTACCTACTCTGATTAGCAGTCCTTTGGAGATATCTGTTCATACATATCTCTTAAGATCTTTTGATTAACCCGAAGTGCTTCATATTAACAAATTTATCCTTTTCTACCCTTTATGACAAATGCAATTTGGATCTGTTTTACAAATGTTTTTTCTCCTGATCTCATGTCTTCTCAATGTAGCACATGTGCTCAAGGCCCCTTTGCCTTTACATTCTGAGCTCTTTACAGTCTGTGTTACAAAACTGCTGCGTTTACCTGTTCACAATTGCCTGGTTATGGTTATCCTCACCATCAAGTAGCATGAGAATGAATGTACAGTAGAAAGTGCTAGAAGTCACCATCTCAAAGCTCACGCAACTCCTCAGCCCAAGTAGTTTCACTTCAGCGGCAGCTCTTAAGCTCATCTCACTCTTCACTGACTGCTCCTACTCTGGCTTCATGAGGCTTTTGAGCAGAAGATAAACGTGAGTTCAGAGCTGTAGTCCACGGGCTCGTGCTCAAGGAAACATTTCCTTTATGAGTGTCTCCCTAGCTGAAAGACAGAACTAAGGCCACCTGCCCCATCACCTGTAGTTCCTTGGAGCTAGTTAAAGAGATTAATTTTTCCTATATTTTATATGAAATACCAAAAATTAGTCTTTGATCTAGTCTTGTAATCTGACTTCTTTGAAATTCTAAGCCAGGTTTATTAAGTAGATATAATCACAATTTTTCTTTTTGGCCATAGGCTCTAGAAATATCTAAGAATGCCACATCTGAAGAGGACGAGGCTGATGATGAAGAAGAGACAGAAAGTGATGAGGGCTCTGTTGATGAGCTGTTCCCATCAGGTTTGTTTTTTCCTCATGATTTTGTTACTTGCCACATAGGAAGGGGGAGGCAACTGCTTAGTTCATATCTAAGAGATCCACTTCTGAGCTTTGTGGATTTGGTTAGCTTTACCCTCTACAAAAGAGAACGTTGGTGTTGTCTTTCTTCTAGGCTGGGCGTGAGATTTGAATGTGATAAGTATAATCAATGCCAAAAATAGTGCCTGAAATGCAATAAAGGCTCATAGAATATTAGCTGCTACACTGCCGTTATTTCACAGGTCATGCTCATAGACTGCTGATGGCTGGCAACACTTTCTCAGCTGAATGTAAGAATTGCTGGCATTTAATAGCTCAAGGCCTAGGAAGGTACCATGATTGACTAGGTGGAATTCCACTTTCCACCTTAAGAAAAGTGCAGTTGGGCCATGGTGTGAGGGTCCTCCTTAATGGATCATTGACTTCCTATGAGTAGGAAACATTGTATAGTAGCAGTAATTGGCATTTGAGAAAACACAGTTTATCCATATTTATCTTGCATATGGATGCTGACTATGTAAGCCAGATGATCTACAGGGTGTTAGGAATTCAGAGATGAAAACCCATGGTCCTCAGGTACCAGGGCTCATAGTCATTGGAGAGACAGTCACATGAGCAAGTAGTGATTCTATCAAAAGATGATTGGGTAAAGGAAGTTTTGTGAAAATGCAGTAAGAACACAATGGCTAGAGCCCCTGGTTCTGCTTTTGGGTGAGGAGAGCTGAAGGCAGTAAGGAGCGTTTGTAGTAAGGCCAAACTCAGATGTACAATTGGCTACGTGGGCAATCTGGGGCAAGGGTGAGAAGCATGGAACAGACCTAACCTCAGGCCCATCAGTCTTTTCTAGTAAAAGAAAGGACATTCCTTAAAGAGACCTCCACCCATGCATTGAGAGTTAGGTGAATGCATGTACTAGACAGCCCTTGGACCGGCCCAGCACCTGAGGCTGCTTGAGTCTGACTGAGCCTACTTCCCCAGAGTTCTGCCTGCCTGGGAGCTTGCTGCCTTAGGCATCATCCCTTTCCATAACATCAGGATCGGAGGTTTTGCTTCCTCTTGCCTTTGGCATTGATTTTCCAGCTTTAATTCTATTCATTTTTCTTTTCTAGGCATCAGAAATTCATCTACCAAGATAAGAAAGTTTCATAAAAATGCCAAGAAAAGACCTCAAAAGCTAGTGTTTTTGCAAGCAGAAACTGGTGAGGTCGATACAGAGAAGATAGTATATTTTAATGGCAATGTGAAAGCTGCCAGACCAAAAGACCCAAAAGACTCTTCAACTCAAGTGAAAGGCAGCAAGTGAGTCACTCAGCTGCTGATTTTCACAAATAAGTATGGGAGAATTATGAATGACATTCTCAGACTGCTAAGCAATATTATTGAGTGCTTAGTTTGTATCCATCAAACACTATGTCAGGCACCCAAGTTAATGGAAACAAATTGATGTCCAAAACACCCTTGCTAGGTCAGAATCATCATCCTTATCTTTTACAGACAAACAAATGTACATAGCAATGATGATTTTAGGCTTTATTTGCCAAATTCAAACTCAGGTTCATCTGACTCCAAAGTGTTTTTGATCACATGGTGATTGTTGTTGCATTTATTAAGTGTTGTAAGCCAGGCATTTCTATTTTTGACTTTGTATTCTTGAATTTTTTATTTTTATTGAATTTTTACGATTTTCCTTTTTAAAAATATTTTATTTTTAAATTTTATCTCAGAAGAGGACATCAGATTCCTCTGGAACTGGAGTTATGGACAGTTGTCAGCTGAATTGAACCCAGGTCTTCTGCAAGAACAGTCGTGTTCTTAACTGTTGAGCCATCTCTCCAGCTCCTATTTACTATTTTTATTTTATGTGTATTAGTGTAATGCCCACGTGTAGGCAATGCCCACAGAGGCCAGAAGAGGGCATCAGAGTCCCTAGAACTGGAGTTACAGATGGTTGTTAGCTGCCTTGTGGGTGCTGGGAATCGAACCTGGGTCCTCTGCAAGAGCGACCAGGACTCTTAACCACTGAGCCATCTATCCACCCCTGAATTTTTATGATTTTCATACAATATAATTTGATGGTATTTTATCCTGCCTTTTCATTCTCACTGCCACTCAGAGATTGATAATCATATCCTCCTTTCACATATAGGAAAACAGGGTCATGAGTTAGGTTAGGAGCACAGGAAGTGTTTGCTGAAAAGGAACACTACCCAGGCAGTAACCTGGAAATTTATAAAGCTAGAAGGCCCACAGAAGTGGAAGCCTGCTAGGAGGTTTGGTGATGGTGATGGTAATGGTTTTAAAAGAGTACCAAGTTCAACTCAACTCCTGCATCAATTCTCTATTTGCCCCTTACCATGCATGTCCTTGACTAACTTTAGTAAGGATGACAAGGGCCTAGAGAGATAGCTTAGCAGGTAAGAACACTTGCTACACAAGAAAGAGAACCTGAGTTCATATCCCAGCATCCACTTAAAAAGCCAGATGTGGCCATGTGGCCTGTAACCCCACCACTGTGGTGGGAATGCAGAGATAGGTGGATCTCTGAGGCTTGCTGGTTGCTGGTCTAGCTCCAAGTTCAGTAAGAGACCCTGCTGTCTGAAAGGAATAAGGTTACTGATAGAACAGAACATCTACCATCCTCCTCTCTGGCATCCACAGGTACACACACACACACACACACACACACACACACACACAAATAAAAAATAAAATAAGGGAGATAGAGCTCCTGGAGCTTGGCATGCTTGGCTTCTCTTGGGCCCTGGTACTTCCAGGGTACCCTAGGGCTTTCTAGAATACATTTTGAAAGCCAATGTGTTCTATTATCTACAGGTCCCTTGTAGCCTTCTCATTCTAGGATTTGGAAAATTGGTTTATATCCAAGGCATTTCTCAGAAGTTAATGCAATGTTAAAGCTTCTTTCATGATAGAACCTTGGTTTAGGAAGAATCAGGATTCTAACTACAGTGTGTTATTCCAGAATACCTACCAGAAAGTCCTCTACCCGCATCACAAGAATGAGAAAAACAAAGGAAGCCAATGCCACCATCCTTCGATCATCTCTGAGTGAGGAAACAAATCAGCAATGGGTTTCTGACAGAACTGCAGACATTAGTCACCACACTGAACACACTGAATCACCTGTCACGAAGACCATTCCTGATAGTGACAAACACAATTTGAAAGAGTCTGTGACATCTCAGCAAGGTCCTCAGGTACCTTTGAACCATAAGAAAAGAAGCAAGCCTGTTTCTTCTCCTTTGGGTAACGCCTTGTCACACCACTTCACTCAAAAGGCAACTGATCTTAAACCTTTCCCTGTATCCAGCTATTTCAGGGCACCATTTGGAGAAGACGACGACAGTGGTGAGTATGTGGGAATGATCTTAGAACAATTTTCCATTAAGTTAGATTTCAGAGTAGGTGACTTGATTGTAATTTCTATGCCCTGCATTGTTTGCCAGATAGAAAAATACAAGTTCAAAACTCTAGTTTCCTTTGGGCTCCTGATCCTCTGGCTGTTTAACAGGTACAGTTGTAGGGCAAAGGGTTAGGAAGAACTTTGGAATTAGTCTTTCTTCCTATGTTGCCAATCCAAAGAGCCATTTTTTTTCTCTTTAAGAAGCTATCAGGGCTAGGCATGGTGATGCACACCTTTAATTCCAGCACTCGAGACAGAAGCAGGCAGATCTCTGTGTGATCAAGGTCAGCCTGGCCTACATAGTTCCAGGCCAGCTGGGGCTCCAGGATGACCCTGTCTCAAAAGTGTAAAGTGCTTATCAGGCAACTATAGTACCTGAGTTTGATCCCAAGCACTCATATAAAACGTGGGCTCAGAAGTGTGTGCCTGTAATCTCAGTGCTGGGGAGACAGAGACAGGAAGTTTGTTGGCCAGCCAGTGTAGCCAAATCGAATCGGTGAACTCCAGATCTAGTAAGAGAACATTTATGAAAAAAATTAATCGAAGAGCAGCTAAAGAACATATGTACTTCTGTCCTCCACACACATGGGTACATGTGTACCCATACACAAACATGTACACACACACACACACACACACACACACACACACACACACACACACACACAAGAAGCAACTGCTTTTGTACTTAAAGCAATGTGGGCTCCTTTGGGGATGGAGTCTGGGTCATTGAGAGAAAAGCACCAGGGTGTCAGAATGTCTGGGGGGAGGTAACCAAGGGGAGAGCTAAGGATTCACTTCAAGGGAAGCCAGGGACAAGTTGCTGTGAGACCATTAGCATCTTCTTGACTAATCTTTTCTTTTTCTTTCCTCCCCCGTTAGATATATAAAGTTCGTGGGGCCTGGGAGTTTGGTGTATCTTCCATTGTACACTAAAACTCCCAAGGCCATCACTCAAAATTGTCTGCTTTGTACTTGAACCTGGCAAATGATCATCCAAAAAAAAAGAAGGGAAATAAAAAACGCATCGACTGATCACCATGATATCTACTTCAGATAATGTTCATATCACCTTGTTCGCTTTTGAGATTTCTAAGTAAAAAGGTTTTTGTTTTCCTTTAAAAAAATCTCCATTGTCTCTTGGTTTTTCCTCTCAGTGGGTGTGCTTTCAGGAGTTACTCAAGGATGCTTTCGTTAAATGATACTTTTTCAGTCCCTCAAATAATCCTATTGAAAGAATGTTTCTCTTCAGTATATATTTGAAATCCTAAAACAGTTTGTTCTATTTAACAATGACATTACTTTAAACAATTAGAAACTCTATTTGATCTTGTAGAGAACAGTAGATTGCAGGAGGAACTCAGATTTCTCACAAGAGTTGTGTCAAATTGTTCCTAATATAAGCCCCAAAGGCTGTGTAGCAAAAAAGTTTTATCTATCAT